TTTCTTTTTTCAGAGATGGAGTCTTGCTCTGTTGCCCAGTCTGGAGTGTAGTGGCTCAATCCTGGCTCACTGCAACTTCCGCCTCCTGGGTTAAAGTGATTGTCCTACCTCAGACGCCCAAGTAGCTGGGACTACAGGTGCACGCTACCATATCTGGCAATTTGTGTATTTTTAATTGAGACAGTTTTCACCATGTTGGCCAGGCTGGTCTTGAACTCCTAACCTTAAGTGATCCACCCACTTTGGCCTTCCAAAGTGCTGGGATTGCAGGCGTGAGCCACCATGTCTGGCCACCCCTCCTATTTCTAAGGCCTCCTTCCCCAGCCTCACTTTCAGCTGATGACCTTGCTTTCCTTTTTACTGAGAAAACTTCTTCTGATTGCATAGGTGAATGTCCACTAACTCCCACAACTTCTACTCCACTACTAGCAGGTGACTTCTGCTCTCTGTCTCTCTCTCATTTCTACAGACCAATTGCCCTTTTCCAAGGCCAATCCCTTGTTTTGGGTCTTAGATTCCATTCTCCTTTTGCTTTCTCAAGAACATTGCTCTCATTTTTCTGTTTCTACCACATCACTATTTCTCTGTTTTCTACTGAATCATTGCCTTTAGCATACAAACATATTGTAATAGCTCTCATCATTTGTTTTTTAAAGTCTCATCGCTCATCATCTTCCTTCAGTCCATTCTTCTGTTTCCCTGAGCACCCAAACTCCAAAAGCGTTTTTTTACCTACTGTCCTCAGTTCTCTCTCAATCTCTTTTCAACTCAATTTTTCTAAATCTGATAGTCATTTCTATGTTCCTCATTCTACTCATCCTACTGGCAGTATGCGGCAATGTTGATGTCTCCCTTCTTCTTAACATACTGTTCTCATTTGGTTTTGCAGACCCCCACATTCTCCTGTTTTGTTCTCCTCATCATCACTGCTTCTCAGTTTCCTTTGGTGGCTTCTTCCTTCTTTTACTGACCTCTAAGCATTAGAGTGTCCCAAGGCACAATCTCTGCACATTTCCTCTTCCCTTTCTACCCTCAGGTTCAAGTGCTCTAATCTGCTACTCTGGATTTAATTACTATCCACCCCAGTGGTTCTCAGCTGAGGGTAATTTTTGCATTGTCTGGAAACACTTTTGGTTGTCACAACTCGGGGAAGGTGCTACTGGCATCTAATGGCTGAAGGCAAGGGAAGCTGCTGAATATACTAAAATCCACAGGACCACACCCCACAACAATAAAAAGTATTCAGCCCAAATGTGCTAAAGTTGAGAAACCTTGATCTACCCAGACCTCTTCCCTGAACTCTAACCTTGTATGTTTAACTTTCTACTCAACATCTTCATTTGCATATTTATAGGTATCTCAAAGGTAACACATCCCAAAGTTGTGATTCCCCATGCCTCAGCTCAGCTTCCCTAGAAAGCATAACCCAAGACAGGTTTACGTGCTAATACTTTAATGGGAGGTGTGAACCCAGAACCATGAGAGGAAGAGAAAAGGAAAGCGAGAGAGAAGGACAGGGTGCAGATCCAACGAGAAGAGTTACCAAACTGGTTACTGCTTCATGAGTCACAAAGAGACACAGCCTTTTCATTAGACCATGTGGTTGCTTGGCCATGAAAAGAATAAAGGTAGAGGGAATTTACCTATGAGCTCCCTCCTAGCTTGCATCTCCCACTGGGCAAGCTCCTCTTGGTTCATTGAGCTAATGCCCCCCTAGGTTTGTGTTGCTCACCTAGGCCTTTTTGCAGTCCTGAGGAATCCAGATTCCACTCCTTGCAGTGTCATCAACTTCAGAAGGCAGAACTATGCCACCCATAGAGTTGACTTTTCCAGCAGCACCTGCAGTGGGGCAAGTGGCCATAGGACAAGACAATGGTGAGCTGGAGAGAATCTGAGGAGATGCCTAAGTTGCCCAAAACAGTGACTACTAAGGCACACAAGGTCTCAGACTTCAAGGAGCTCCTAAGCCGCACAACACAATGACAACTAAGACACAGAAGATCTCAGACTTCAAGGAGCTCACGTTCAGGTAGGAGAGAAACTGTTTGGGACACTCCTGCAGTAAATGATATTACCATTTGTCTGGTTATTAAGGCCACAAGCCTAGGAGACAGTCCTAAAACTTTTCTTTCCTCACATCCCAAATTCTGTCATCTCTATTTCAAGATGAATTCTCTTCCAAAAACTCCTCACAAGCTCACCACAGTCTCCCTCATCTAAGCCACCATTGCTTATGCTACTTAATAACCTCCAACCTTGTGTCTTGTTTCTAGTAGCCAGAATAATCTTTAAGAAATGCAACTCATATTACTATATTGATGCATATCCTCCAGTAGGTTCCCATTGTACTCAGAATGAAATGAACTATTCTTACCATAGCCTGAGAGGCCCTGCATGATCTGGGCTCTGCCTGCCTTTCTGACCTACCTTTGTTGACATTCTTTCTCGGTCAGTTCTTTCTGGCCATAGTGGCCCTCTTGTTTCCTGAATATGCTAAGTCTGTCCTTGCCTTGGGACCTTTGCTCTTACACCCATCCTTCTCATCTTCCTGTTCCTTGCTCTTTCTTCTTGATGTTTTTCGTTCAAATGTTACTTCTGCAGAGAGGCCCTTCTTATCTGCAAACCTATATTTGTCACTTACTGTGCCTGTTTCTTAATTTTCTTTATCCAACACTATAATGTATGAGGTATGTGTTTATTGCCTGTATCTCCCACCAGAATATGAGCTCCATGAGACCTGGGACCTTATATGTCTCCATTCCAGTGAGAGGGCAGTGTCTGGCCCACAGCTGGGGCTGGGCAAATATTTGTTGAATTAATAAATATCTTCAGACCCTTACCAAGGGAAGACTTCCATCAAGAGTGTTGAGTTCCAGTTAGCCAGGCGTGATGGCTTGTGCCTATTGTCCTGCTAGCTACTCCAGAGGCTAAGGTGGGAGGATTGCTTGAGCCCAATACTTCCAGGTTGCAGTGAGCTATGATTACACCACTAAACCCTGTCTCAAAGAAGAAGAAGAGGAAGAAGAAGAAGAAGAGGAAGAGGAAGGAGGAGGAGGAGGAAGAGGAGGAGGAGGAGGAGGAAGAGGAGGAGGAGAATGCTGAGTTCCCAGCTCACAATTTTCTTCCAGTCCCTTGGAGGTCCAGTCCTGTAAACACATCTATCAGAGATGTCGAAGATTTCCTAATATGCCCCCCAATAAAACCCTGAATTTAGGAACCTTGGATCCCATCCAATCTGTGAATCCCTTCTAGCAAGGCAATCTCCTAATGCTGAGTTAGGGCACGTGCATTCCCATGAAGCTAGGAAGATGACAATCTTAGGGACATTTAAAGAAAGGCAATGGTTTATAGGAAGAGGGAAGTACAAGACAAGGACAAAGAAAGTGGAGAATAGGGAAGCTCAGTAGTGCTGGGATATGATCAGAAAACCCTTGTCTAGTAGAGTTATCCCCGATAGGATTCTAGCAGCAGCAGCAGCAACAAAACCAAGAGACTTGATGTTACTTCAGCTGGGAGCTTCATATTTATATATCTATTTTTATTTTTAAAAATAAAAAAACTATTTATTTGCATTAGAGCAGCAGTGCAGAAAGGTAGGGATCCCCGGAGCTATTGAGATTGAAGGATATGCGTGTGGAAGGTGGGAAAAGGGCAGAGTTCAACATGGGAAGGAGGAGTATAAGAGAACTCATTGTTCATGAAAGAAAAGCTGGGGTATGGATCTGAAGGAGGGGACGGAACATACACTTTTGTTTTTCTGAAGGGAATGCTGGCGTCTGAATCTGGAGGAAGGATTTAACTAGTTCCAGACAGGGACTGTTGCACTGCCTGGGCAATCCCGCAGAGGCCCCTGCTTTCCACTAGCCACAATAGAGCGGGGAGGATGCAATCATTGGCTTTGATTAAGGAGGTGGGTGGTGTAGGCGGGAGGCAACAGTGGTGAGAAGGGTGGTCCCAAGGCCGAGGGAGGAGCCAATCAGCGGCGACTCTGGGCTCTTGCAGCCTCCTTAGAGACTCCACAGCCCTGGAAGTACCAAACTGCCGGCAGCCTTTTCTCGAGCTGCAGGCGCGGAGACTCAGCGCCTCTGGGGGCGCAGCTCCAGCCGCACTCGCAGGGCACGGCGCACGCCCCCAGCTCCTGCTGCCATGCGCCTCTGCGGGGGACCCTTTCCGAATAAATTGCAAGCTTTGAAAGTGGCCTTGTGGAGGCACTAGGCTGGGGAAAGAGGCTGCGGGAGGAGGGGCATAGGGTGGGAGGTGAGTAGGCGACTTGCTTCTCAGATTATTCCCAATTAGCACCAAGTTGGCAGACAACCCCACAAACCCACGAAGCCTTCGGTCCCCCACAAGTCACATTCTCTGTATTTCAGAATAATCGGATTGTAAGAAAACTTCAAGTCCCATCGTAGGTTAAAGAGGGACAGGCTCTTAGCACCACCGCCGCCTAGTAAAACTACATGGAAGAAACCCAGGGATCCTCAACTGCACAGCTCTGCCTAAAGTCTGCAGCTCTGAGAGTCCAGCCGGCGGGGGGAAGCTGGGAGGGCCCCGCAGAGAGCAAGGGCCTTCTTGGGGGAGGAGCGGAATGGGGCGCAGAGCAGTGCGATCGAAGAGGGTTACTGTGGGACTGCACAAAAGCAAACCCATTGGAGGAGTTTTGCCAGAAACACCACCGCCTGCATTGCGTCGGACCTGACCATTTCCAATGTGAAATTCCCGGGGAAGGTCGCGAGCCGCCAGGGGCCGTGCGTGGGCGGGGCGGTGGGCCACAAGGGAAGTAGAGTTAGTGGTCGGCTTTTCTGGTAGGAGAGGAAAAAGCTGTGCTGGCAAGGGTGGGAACTGAATGACAACCCCGCTCTCTTCCAAACCACCCCCTCATATTTTCCATCCACCTCCTCGCGCCTGCCCTCCCCCGCCCTCCCCAACCCACGCCCGGGTGGGCCAATCGCTGCTCTGTATTCCAGGCGCTTTCTCAGGTTTCTGCTGATCTTGCAGCGCCCAGAAATGGACCGAGCGGACCCGCCGCCGCACGCACCCTGCTCCACTCCGAGCTCCTGAGGGCTCCCGGCGCGCCGCGTAGCCTTGGCGAGGTCCGCGCTGGGGTGCGGCGAGCGAAGGGAACTGGAGAGCCATGTAGATCCAGGCTCTTGCCCGCCCGCCTCCTTCGGGATCGAATCAAGGGCTCCCATAGTGTTAGGAGGGGGCGAGAGTGCTGTTTATCGTCATTTGCCTCTGAGCTTCGGGAGAGAGTGATATTTTGCTTTTCCGCCCCGCATCCTCCGGAACTCCCTGCACCGGAGAGAGGACGGCGTCTCCAGGTTGCTGGCAACCGGTGAGAATGGGGGTAGGGAATGAACATTTTCGCCGTAGCTCCTCGGTAAAGCGATTGTCCAACTGAGAGGGGCGTCGGACGAGCGGACCAGGGCGGCGAGTTTGCCCGGCGCGTCTCGGATGCTGCTGCGGCGGCCGCCGCGGCTCCCGCCAGGGCACTGCAAAGGCGACCTGCCGCATTCCCACGCGGGCTCTCCGCCGACTCAGCACCGCCCCTGCGCCAAGCCGGCCGGCCAGGTAGGGGTTTCCCCAGCTCGGGGCTGCAGAAGCGGGGGTTGGGGCGACGGGGTGGGGGAGGCCGGGGGTGCGGGGATGCTGCCTGGGACCCGGAGCTTCCCCCGGCGTCTCTCGGCGCTTTTCCGATCTCTAGTTTAACGAAGTTGTAAACAGATCGGCTGTTGGGCATTGGGGAAAGTGGGATGGAAGAGCCCCAAACTTGGATTTCCGGGTGTCTGCGTGTCGTCTGTCCGTGTGTGTGTGATAGCCCTAGTAAACGTCCAGTGCTTTCCGAGCTAGAGGTCTGTGTTCTTCGGTGTCTGTAGGTCCGTCCCATCCGAATGCTTCTGATTTTCTACCCCCGTATCACTTTCTATTTCTCTGCAGCGTCCATCGATCGCCCTGGTGGGAGCTTAGAAGGCGGCAGGCGAAGAGGGGTAGGAGGGGGGAGAGCCGAGGAGAAGCAGAGGGGGTGGCAGGCGTGGGGATCTGCTGAGCCGGCACTGCACCGGGTCCTAGCAAGGCTCTCGGAGGGGAGGGGAGGCCAGGGCGACCCCCGAAGCCATGGCCCAGTCCGCTAGAACGGCACTGCGTTAAGGCACCTGGGATCAGGAAGAAATATCTAAACAACAACAACAACAACAACAAAAAGCCAACAAACCCCCAAATCCAAACCCGACCCTCTGCAAAAAGCGGCACCCGGCCCGCAGGCGAGGGGGATTCCAAATTGAGTACAAGGCAGGGTGGAGGGGAAGGCAGCGAGAGGCAAAGTCGCAGATCTCCCGACCTGCTCATTTTGAAGCCCCTCCCCCTGGGCGTGAGGGAGACGCGCACTCCGGTGGGGGGGCCGCTTGGGTCCCCCCCACCCCTGGTCCCTGGCTGTTTCCCACCCCGGGCTCTCTCCTGGCCTCCCACCCCCGCGCCCGGCTTTCACCATGACGGTGATGTCTGGGGAGAACGTGGACGAGGCTTCGGCCGCCCCGGGCCACCCCCAGGATGGCAGCTACCCCCGGCAGACCGACCACGACGACCACGAGTGCTGCGAGCGCGTGGTGATCAACATCTCCGGGCTGCGCTTCGAGACGCAGCTCAAGACCCTGGCGCAGTTCCCCAACACGCTGCTGGGCAACCCTAAGAAACGCATGCGCTACTTCGACCCCCTGAGGAACGAGTACTTCTTCGACCGCAACCGGCCCAGCTTCGACGCCATCCTCTACTACTACCAGTCGGGGGGCCGCCTGCGGAGGCCGGTCAACGTGCCCCTGGACATGTTCTCCGAGGAGATCAAGTTTTACGAGTTGGGCGAGGAGGCCATGGAGAAGTTCCGGGAGGACGAGGGCTTCATCAAGGAGGAGGAGCGTCCTCTACCCGAGAAGGAGTACCAGCGCCAGGTGTGGCTGCTCTTCGAGTACCCCGAGAGTTCGGGGCCCGCCAGGGTCATTGCCATCGTCTCCGTCATGGTCATCCTCATCTCCATCGTCATCTTTTGCCTGGAGACGCTCCCCGAGCTGAAGGATGACAAGGACTTCACGGGCACCGTCCACCGCATCGACAACACCACGGTCATCTACAATTCCAACATCTTCACGGACCCCTTCTTCATCGTGGAAACGCTGTGTATCATCTGGTTCTCCTTCGAGCTGGTGGTGCGCTTCTTCGCCTGCCCCAGCAAGACGGACTTCTTCAAAAACATCATGAACTTCATCGACATTGTGGCCATCATTCCTTATTTCATCACCCTGGGCACCGAGATAGCTGAGCAGGAAGGAAACCAGAAGGGCGAGCAGGCCACCTCGCTGGCCATCCTCAGGGTCATCCGCTTGGTAAGGGTTTTTAGAATCTTCAAGCTCTCCCGCCACTCTAAGGGCCTCCAGATCCTGGGCCAGACCCTCAAAGCTAGTATGAGAGAGCTAGGGCTGCTCATCTTTTTCCTCTTCATCGGCGTCATCCTGTTTTCTAGTGCAGTGTACTTTGCCGAGGCGGAAGAAGCTGAGTCGCACTTCTCCAGTATCCCCGATGCTTTCTGGTGGGCGGTGGTGTCCATGACCACTGTAGGATACGGTGACATGTACCCTGTGACAATTGGAGGCAAGATCGTGGGCTCCTTGTGTGCCATCGCTGGTGTGCTGACAATTGCCCTGCCCGTACCTGTCATTGTGTCCAATTTCAACTATTTCTACCACCGAGAAACTGAGGGGGAAGAGCAGGCTCAGTTGCTCCACGTCAGTTCCCCTAACTTAGCCTCTGACAGTGACCTCAGTCGCCGCAGTTCCTCTACTATGAGCAAGTCTGAGTACATGGAGATCGAAGAGGATATGAATAATAGCATAGCCCATTATAGACAGGTCAATATCAGAACTGGCAATTGCACCACAGCTAACCAAAACTGCGTTAATAAGAGCAAGCTACTGACCGATGTTTAAAAAACAAAAGCAAGCAAACAAAAAAGCCCCACTTAGCAGCTCAAAAGACTTAAAAAACAAAACAGAAAAACCTGGTGACTCATGTCACGCTTTGTAGATACTTTACTAAGTAGACTTCGAATGCTCTATTTAACTGTCAATGCATTGTTGCATTGAGGATTTTGGGGGTGGTGAACCAGAAGCTTTCAAGATCCATGACAATAAACTATTTTCCTTTTATTAAAAAATGGGAAAAGAGAGAGTATTTTCTAAAACTGGCTTAAAAAGATTAGTCCATGAACTAGTCTAGGTAAAACAATAATCATATGCTTCCCCAAACTGAAACATTTTTAATGCTTTGGTTTCTTTAACTTTTTTAAAAACTCAAAACAAGATGATCGCTTAGAAATATAAAATTAAAATTTGCATGGGACTCCAGTAAAAAATCTTTGCAAACTGCATAGCACATTGAAGACAGTGCATCAGATGTATTATATGTAACATGATAGACCAGCCAAAATGGACAATGAATAGATATTTTTATTTCGATCAACCGAACTGCATATTACAAGGTGAAAAAAGAAAACTCCAATTACTTAAGACTGGTTCACAAAGCACCTTATAAATTGGATACTGGTCCTGATCTGTAGGGATTTCCTCCTGGGCCCATTCTCTTTCTAATCCAGATTGTTCTCTAAGAAAAAGATAACTGAATTAAATTAATTGATTCATCTGCAGTGCTGCTAAATTTTCTCAACTGCAGATGAGCCAAATACAGGTCTTTTCTCACCAGGCCTGCACTCCGACCCCTGGCTTTCAGAACTGGATGTAAAACCTTAGCCTCCTTATTGCAAGAGAGCACAAATGAAGTTAAATGTAAGCATGTTTGAATCTGATACAATTTACTTTATAATCGCATGCTGAGAAGTTAGCCCAGACAATAGGGGATAAGCTTAAGTTGAAATCGATTCTTCTAAAAATAGATCCTTTTTCATTTGCATTCACCAAAAGTGCACTCCTCCATTTATTAACTATTTTATTAGTAAATACAGTACTGTATTTAAGTGCATATGTTAGTCAGATGGGAACAATAACTTTTTGGAGCTCAAAGCATGTTCTCTCATTCAGCATTATGGCCTATTTGACTAAGATGTACCTTGAATTAATTAATGCATGATTTCAGTAATAAAAATTTAAAAAGTAATAAAAATTACAAGTCTGTGGGATGAAAGGCCCAATAGAAATTATGGGGGGTGGGGGTGGGGGCACTCAGTCAATTTTCCTGCCTTTGCTCAGGGAAATACCAGGTTTTTTGCGCAGGTATAGGCGGAGAGAGGACCAATATGCCCATCCCTTAAAGGGAAGCCATGTGAAAAACTAAATAAATCATCAAGGTATATATAGCAACACCTAAGAACAAGTATTCTTTCTAGCTGAAGACAAACACAAGCAACACAAACAAACAAACAAACAAAAAAGGTGCAATACTGCATGTTTTTTGGTGCATTCTTAGGATGTAAATGAAAATGTTTCTCTATTGTATGCATCCAAAGCAGAGCTGATTTTTTTTCTTTGCAGTCATTATTTGAAGTCTGCAGAGACTTCAGCCCTCCCCTTGAGGCTCCCTGAAGAAACTAAACCAATTGATTTAATAGTTGCTTAGTGCCTTTATCCTGTACCCACAGTGAACTGCAGAAAGTGCCTCCTTGACACAGCTGAGAAGTTAGGTAACAAAAGTGGGGAAGGGTTGGGGCACAGACCTTTCGCTTTTTCTTTTTCCATTCTCGCTCTCTCATTTCACCACTGTGAGAAGACCACACCACCCTAAACCCTGGAGAGGAGAGTCCCAGGAGGGTGCTGTCTCTCTGGCCATCTACTAGCATTGGTCCCTTTGACAGCCTGACGCTGGATGTGAACTGAGACCCATCTTTGAAGTGGACGTGAACTGTGAACTTGTTTTTTCCTCTTCTCCACCAGAAGCCAAGATAAACTTTTTGGGAATTTGTTTCCTATCGAGGGCCACTTTGGACACACAAGGCTTCCTCAGGTCCAGTGTAGTGCTCCTGGCACCTTTCCTTATTCTTTCTCTGTTAGTAACAGCACTTTGCAAATCTCTCTGATGGTCCAATCTTTTCGGGCATTGTTGTGGATGTGGGAACACTCAGTTCATAATAACCTTTCCTAGGCCTTCCCTCCCGGTCTACCCCTTTCAGATATTTCCTATGACGCTCCTATGATCTTCCCGCCTGGCAGTCACTTCACAGGCTGAACATCTAACTTCTGCTTCCCCAGTCGCTCAGCCCAGAGAATGGTGGGGACCCTGTTCCTGGCTGGAAGACAGCCACGGAACACAGACCTCTGGAGCTTGGCAGCTGTCCACCCGTGGAGAGGCACTCACAGCCTTTTTAAGGACCCTGAGGTGGGGAATCTTCATTCTGCGCTTAGCATGTGGCTGCCTGTTACCTGACATTCGGGCCCAGCTTCTTCCGAAAACCTGTTCTGTTTCTCCCACCCCTTTTCCCCATGCTGTCCTAGAACTAGCAGTGAGGCAGTCGCCCTAGAAACTCGAGTTACGCCCATTCTGGCTAACTCGATTAAAAGAAAGAACATGGATATCTTTTTTTCCTACGTGACTTCTGTGAATCTGTGAGATGAACACAACACACATCGTGGAAGATGAGGGGCCAAGAACTGCACGACATTTGACTACAGGGCATTAAACCCTCCCATGTGATGTCTCCTTCTCGTCTGAACCTTAACTCATTCTGGTGATTCCTTTCCTACTTGCTTAAAAGTCCCCAATTAGGAAAAAAAATGCCAACCTCCTGCCAGTCCTGGGGCTATCTTGATCTTTCATTTCAACGTTGAGGTCTAGTGCACACAGAACTTGAAACACCACACTCTGTCAACAGCAATAATCCGCTCGGTACTGTGGGATGGATGGGTTAATGGATGAGAAAATGGCACCAAGACTGACTTTGGGTACTTGGTATGCTTACCATGGTTACACCCTGGAGTGGTTGATTCTTCTGCATGTGATATAGAAAAAAGTGCTGCATGCGGTGAACCTGTCAGCCTGGGACTGGGGATGAGTTGTTGTTATGAGTTTGGGGTGCTGTGAGGAAAATGAACGCTGCTTAGCTCATCTGTAGGTCATTGCAATGAATTCAGTAAGAATGGAGTACAGGGATTATCTGTGTAGCATAGGCATGCGATGTTTGACCAAGCTCTTACCCCTCGCACTGTAATGTGTTGAAATGTCTTTGTAGACCTGAAGGTGCACTTAACAAAACTGCCTATTAAGGGATAACTATTTTTTGGTTTACTTATTCTTATTTATTTTAGCAGGCTCTTTACCTTTTCTTCCCCTTCCTAGGCATGGAGCTCTAACAGCTCATGTCCTGACTATGTGTTTTCTCTAGGAGAAGACTGTTGATGTGCTGATAGCCATAACTCCTCTCTTCCAGTCTATTGGGGCCCTAGTTCAATAGGGTGGCATTGGAAGGGTTGGTCACAGCAGGGCTGTTAGCCATCCCAGAATCTCTGAAGTGGTTAACTCACCTGAAGTGATCTGAATCAGAGAGACCAAAGACATTCATTTCCTCTGTCCTCAGATTTCTAGAAGACAAATTCCAGCCAGGAAAACTTTCTGTTTTTGCATCTCCCTTTTCCCACTTGTGCACAACTCCCCTTGCACTCCCTGGAGACTTGAGTTCTGATTTTCAGTTATATCAGTTCGTTGGGAGTGTGTTCGTGGGTGAGCCTTGCAAAATCAGATACACCAAGAGCAAGTCCTTCTCCCGGATTCCGGCCAGTGGGCAGTCATTTCCCTGAAATGGAATTGTAGGGCAGGTTTAGATTCCACCATGGTGGACTTGAAGCACAGGTGGTGTCACAGTCTTGATTCGCTTGAGAATTAAAAACATACATGTAAATGGCAAATGAGGAATACATTTTTTTTTAAAGTAGAAATTTGGTTGAGCCTATAAAGGGCCTTCTTCACATTATGTATAGTTACACATTTTTCAAATGAGTTACCATCTAAAAGTCAATAAAAATAGTTTCCTAGCCCTCTCATTTAATATAGGAGACCTCAAAACACATGCTTTTTAAAATTTTTACATTTTAATTCTTAGTTTGGTAGATTGGATTGAAAGAAAGGAGAAAGAACATTAGCAGAAGGCACTTTCCCATTTTCTTCCAGGAATGACTTATTCCTGGGGTGGTGAGAATTGGTGGGTGGTAACCATCCATAGTATAAAATTGTTAGAAAGAATATAAACTGCCAAACAAGCATGTTATCTTCAGGCTTTTCCAAGCAAGAATGGAGTCTTTTGATGTTTATGTTCATTTTAAGAAGACAAACAAACTAAAATTTTAAGACCAGACGCAACCCAAGTTGAATTGTGATCTCAGGAGGTGACTTCTCATCTACCATGTGGCATATTACTACTTGTATTTATATCATGGAATTTCAGGGTATATGTGAACATGTCTAGTATGACTCAGGTAAACCTTAAAAGAATGTATGTTACTTACCATTTTTGTAAAGAAGCAAACAGGAGCTGAATTGTTAACCAAAACTGTTCCATTACCTTGGGTCACTGTGCAAACTAATTCAGGGTATAGATGTAAAGTTTAGAAGCCTTGGGATTAAATGCCAGCCTCTTTGCTCAGGCAAAATGACCCTGGGCTTTCTTGGGAAGTCCAGCATGTATGTAAGGGGTGAGGCCCTGCTGACCTCAGGGCTATTAGCTTTAAGGAGATTAACCCTAGTCACAGTGATTTTCATTTAGGAGCTAACTAGGAGTTTACTTTTTGTGATGTGAAACTTCAAAGAGTATAGAAAACTTTTGTACCACAATCAAAGAAGAAGAAGAAATGGTGTATGGAATGAAAACAAAACAAAACAAGAAATCTCTTGTAAAATATTCCAGGTCAAAGTTGTCTCCTCTCCAAACCTTGCAGAAGCACCTTTCTTCTCTTCAGCGCACTGTTTTGGGACTGTTTATGCATCAGATGTAAGTAGACAACATGGACTCCATGTGACATGCCTCTAATAGTAAAGATAAAGTATTACTGAGGTGAAAAATAAAAATGACTAGTATTAATTGAAAGTGCACCATCAGGACAACAAACCATTTAAGCTGAAAAAGCGCTATTTTATTTCTTCAGTTTGCCAGTTGCTTCACCTTGAGTTAAGGACATGTCTCATCTTCACCTACTGTGCATTTTCCCTTCTCTAACTGTGTAATATGTCAGGTCAAGGACATTGAATGTTACGAATTGAGAACCTAATTGATGCGCATAGTTTTCATCTATGCAATTTTACTTGCTTCTGTCACTTTATGATCTGTTCATATTTGGCATCAATTAAAGATAATTTTTAAGGATCTTATCAAGGAATATCTTGACTGGTTATTTGTCTCTTGTTTAACTGGTCTTTTGGGGGCCCTTTTCTTCCACCTTCTTCTGTGGGGTCTCTCTAAATAGTGGGATGAATACAAGATCAGATCATGAAACAGCCGTGTTGCCTTTGGCCCACACGGTCTGTTTCTGCTGTCCAAGGACATACCCTGGGGTTACGTTTTGAGGATAAATTCAGTTTGGTTTCAGGTAAGATCCCAAGTGAAGACCATTGGAATTTGGCCTGTGGAAGTTAGAGTGGAAGGAGGATCAAGTTTTTAAAATAAAAGAAGAAATGAGGCTCAGGGGAGCAAAGTCATTGGTTATATTCACTTAAGTTGTTTTGATTTGAAACAATTTTTTATGTACAGTCTGAGAAGCTTTGCAGGAAAGATAACTGCGTGTGTGTGTGTGTGAGAGAGAGAGAGACAGAGACAGAGACACGACTGTGTGTGTGTGTGTGTGTGTGTGTGTGTGTAACAGTGTTGTGGTCTGGAATCAACTGACTGGATAGTTGCAGTGCGGTGTTAGGAGTGATTTTGATGTGGAAAAATAACATGGTCACTATCTATTCTTTACATAGGCTTTTTCCATGTAGTTCTACATGTGGTTCACATTTCTTTCTTCCAGTTGTTTTTTTTTTCTTTTTTAAATGACTCGTTCGTGCGTTTTCTTTTGAATCTTCCTAAGATTTAGATCTTCTCTTTTCCTCCTTGTGAATATCACTTTTTCTACACATTCTTTTATGTCAGAGCAAACAGGCGGAGGTGCTCTTGACAGGGGTCTGTTACATGCTAACTGCACTGGGTGGCTGGTGCATCATCGTAGAAGAGTATTGCACTGTGATAGGTTCATGTTACAAGATTTGCAGATTAATCTTTCTTTTGCTGTAGAAGTTGCCACTGAAAGTAGACTACAAACCTGGGCAGGCTGACCATTATTTTTCTGTTGTGGTCAAGAAACATGCCAGGCTAAGCTCTGACAGAGAAGGTAAAAAGACAGCCCAAGACACACCAACAGCAGTGGATGTTTCTCAAAGCTCAGCCTTAGAATGGTCTTCTTGAAGCAGAAACAGATAGAACTAGGTAGCTGCTAGGAATAGGGCTGTAACTGGAAGCTTTGTTGTTGACAAAGCTTTAAAAAGAAGTCAGGTCAGTTTAAAGGGGGGAGAACAGAGAGCAGATGTGATCTGAAGTCAGCGACTCTGCCACTGGGTGGGAAACTGCCTGCCGCAGTCAGTCCTGATTTCTGGATTCTGACCAGGTTTGAGTGTGGAGGGAGGGCCAGCCCTAAGGCTGGTGGCAAAGTACTGAGTGGATAAGACACAGCATGGCAGGCAGTATACCTGGAAAAGAGCCCTTTGAACCAGTTTGAAAACAGACAATTTATGACATCTTATTTAATTAATTAAATCTAAGATACCATTACTTGTAAGATGCAGTGTTATCTGACATATTTGTAAGAAAGAGAGAACACCGACAATTATGACCTGCCATTGCATTGATTCATCCCAATTTTACAGATGTAAAAAGGTAAAAAGAGGAATCTTCAAATTGATACGCTATAGTGATTCTAGTATTTCCCTCCCCCGTTTTTATTTCTTGGTGTGATTAAGTGTTCGAATTCTGGTCCCTTAAATTTGGCAGTTTTGTGCAGATGTGAACCCTGAATAGAACCGTCAGATCTTATTTTAACTATATTTTTATCCCTCAGTATTTTTCTTGGCCCTGTCCCTGACTTAGGCTTTGTGCTAGGCATTGGAGGTGTGTTAGTTGACAGAGCAATGTACTCTACAGATCCTCTGCCCAGCAAAGGACTTAGACTTAATTGTGATCTACGGAATGAGGCTGGTCTTGTGTTATTCCCTCTCTCTCCCTAGAAAAGCACTCCCTCTATCATCAGATGTTCAGAATCGTCAGCGGCCCTTTGCTTTCAAAGTTCAAAGCAGCTGGGCACGTTCATTCCCAGGAAGGTGCTAACAGCAACACTTCCAGTCTGGATAGCTATCTTTGCAGTTTTCAAACCCTTTCCACGTTAGTTAGATTGCTTTCTTCTACTTGGTGAATTAGGTTGGGCTGATATTGCTGTCTTCATTTTATAGGCACAGGGATCTGCCCCCAAGATTGCTGGGCAGATGAAGCAGGCCTGGGTTTATTGATTCTTTGGGCCAGTGTCTGGCACACAGTAGGGGCTCTGAATGTTTACTGAACTGATCAAATGTTGGAAAGTGTAATGTCACATGGTAAAAACAAACCAATGGATTTCGTGTAGGCATTTAGCCTTTTTGAGCCTTTAAATTGCCCTTTTTTTTTTGTTTTGTTTTTGAGATGGAATCTCACTCTGTTGCCCAGGCTGCAGTACAGTGGTGCGATCTTGGCTCACTGCAACCTCTGCCTCCCAGGTTCAAGTGATTCTCCTGCCTTAGCCTCCCAAGCAGCTGGTGTTACAGGCGCGTGCCACCACACCCTGCTAAATTTTTGTGTTTTTCTAGAGGCAAGGTTTCACCATGTTTACCAGTCTGGTCTCGAACTCCTGGCCTCAAGCAATCTGCCCACCTCGGCCTCTTGCAGTGCTGGGATTACAGGCGTGAGCCACCGTGTCTGGCCTAAATTGCTCATTTCTAAAATACAACTATAATAGCTCATAAGGTTGTGTGGATTAAATGAGATCATACAGGTCCACATGTTTGGCGAATTCTAATGAGTTTTGTCAATGTGAGATGTTAATAGATATGTTGTTAGTTACAAGGACAAAGGAAAGAGCAGGAGGAGGCCACTGCGTCATTCCTCTCTAGAGAGGGAGCCACATTTTAAAGGAAGACTCCAGGGAGATCAGGCGCCTAATTCAAAGGATGTCTTGTATGATGGCGGATCTGAAGACTTGGGGCTGAGGTTTTTTCAGTAGGAACTTCAGTTCATCTTGCACATAGTGCCAGGCATACAGCAGCCTCCCAGGACCCTCAGTCACTATGTCCAGTCTTGTTCCTCCCTTGCCCGGTGGTATTAATACTATTTCACATCTTCAGACCCCCAATGGGAAGGTTAAGCTGTGCCATGCAATACGCTGAGGAACAAGAAGGGCTCTTCAACAATTACATCACTTCTGATCGCCTCATTTCTCCTATGTGCAAAATGTTGTCTGATTTGATATTTTTTCTTCCACCTGTGAATATTGAAAAATCAAGCAAGATGCTTAGGAAGGGTTCTGATATGCTTGTCTGAGAGTCATTTTATAAATATAAAAATTTATTATAAACTGTCCTAGCTAAAAATAAAACAATGCTCACAAGAATATATGAGTCAATATAGTCTTTTCCTGAATAGCACATATGACACAGATGCTTATAAACATTTATAATTATAATATCTCTCTAGTGGTCTAGCTCTTCCTTCTTAAAACTGACTGGATTTAAACAGCAGTCAACTTTTGCCTGCATTTCTTTAGGAACTTCATTGGAATTAAAGTAAGGAGTTAGAATCAATCTGTTAGAATCTTGGGTTCACAAAAACATTTCTCTAGAGGATAATATTCAGGGGCTAGATTGAATTCTTTAAATCTTAATCATTTTTTAAAATAGATTTTATGCAGTATGTTCATGTGTGCTAACATATTCTCATGTCTCAAGCGTTGAGCATTAAATACACTGTAGGAATGTTTCCAGATAAACGAATTCCAGTTGAAATTTATTTTTTTCAGAATTGAAATCAGAGGATGATCCATGAGTAGGGACTAAGTTTAGAATAATTACGTTTTTGGGCTCAAGGCCAAATTCAACTTTTGTTAAAAATGCTTATTCCTCAGTATAATGAATTAAGAGTGTTTGGAAATCCCAAATGCTTTAATTATCTCTAGAGTGATGACACTCTCTTTGTTTGCATTCCACTCAATATCATTATTTCACTGCTTCAGAAAGGAAGTAATTTTGTTTTATGTGAGTTGCAAAGGGAATCTTTCTGAGACGAGGATTCACTGTACATTGTATTCCTCTTTCATTAACAGGCAAAACATTTTTTAATACTAAGGAGAAAGTTGTGCATGTGTCAGCCTTAAAAGATGGAATGCTCACCTCAGTTTTTGAAAGATCAAAGGATATTAGCTTATTGTTAAAGGAAGTTTCTAGTGAAGATGGAATAGCTGTCTTAAGTTTACACAGGGCGAAGATCACTTTTTTGGCATTTACAAAATAATGCTCACCCCTAACGGATAAAAACGAGTACTCAAAACATAATTTAATCATGGCGTTGGTGATTCAAGAAAGAAAATTATTTAACTTTATCCCATACAAAGTAATTAGTGTGCTGGAAGAAGAGTGTTTGCCCACTGCAAGAATTTCCAAATAGTGCATTAGAACCGAATGTTTTAAGCCAAAGACACCCACCAGATATAAAACAAGGGCAAAAGAAAGTTGCTTAGCATGTGAAAGTCAAATCCTTTGTTTTAGTTATAATGCCCAAGAATTTGCAGCAAGAGTATGAAGGGTAAAATGAGATTGATGACGTTTACCTGACCGAAGGTGGTTAAGTTTGGCTAGGGCAACTTTCCAGTCTCCGGTTTTCAGATAGATGATTAGGAAGCAGACTGATACTGGGAAGATTTGACATCCTTCTTACCTGTTGAGCAATATGCAATATATCAAGTCACTCAATAAGTACCCAAGGCTAAAATGGTGACTGAAACAATGACTCATCAGTTAATGCTATTTAATGTTAAGTGATGGACTCTGATGCTGTTTTTAAAAAGCCATGTAAATCATCCCACGTGTCAATTTTGTGTGCTCAATGGTTAGCCAAATATGACGGAAATGGTTATTGGACTCTGGACTAAATGATCCAGGAATTTTGCTGGTGTTCAGTAGCATAGACTCTTGGTTATCACAGATTTTGTAGACATAGTCTTGCAGAGAAGAAGAGGAATACATTAGATGACTTTAAGATGTGATCTTGGGTAGCCTTAAAATTCTAGTGTTTGATACTAAAGGGCAACATTTCATTAGTCCCAAA